ACCAGGCCCTCGGGGCTCCACCAAGCCCAAGGCTCAGCCCTGGCCCGTGCACCCCAGGACGGGGCACAGGGCCCTCTCCTTGTCTCCGTCCCCTTTAGTTTCTCCGCTTGGCTTTGGCCGCTCCAGGGCCGGCTCTCATCTCTGGCTCCGTCTGAAAGGGAGCCGTGTCCGTCCCGTTTCCCTCCCGAGAGCGCGTGCCCTGGTACCATCGATTCCCGCAGCGCTTGCCGGAGGAGAGGGCAGGGTCCCGCCACCACCAGGGCCCCCCAGTCCAGGGCATTTTTAAACATTTCTCTCTACAAACTCCTTCTACAAGCGGCCGGCTGCCTGTCTCTTGCTGTTCCAGGCAGTCACTGTAGGAAGGAGGGAAGAGTTGGGGTGGTTTGGTGGGGTTTTGTTTGGTTTTTTTTTTTTTCTCCTTTCTCCTTGCTGTGTTTTGTTTCTTTGGAAATTAAAAGCAATGAAGGGGGTTATTTATTTATTTTTAATTTATTTTGTCATATTTTTGTAAAACCTGCAGAAATGCAATAAAAAAAAATATATTTCAACAAGCTGGAGGGCGTGGGCTAAATTATTGCCCGCATCTGCTCAGGGGACAAATCTCAGGTCCCTGGGGGGGGGTGTGTGTGTGGAAGGGGACATCAGGGATGCCGTCACCCTTCCTGGTCCTCTAACACGGGGAAAAGCTCCGAGACGGCGACACAAGGACAAACCCCGGCGGCAGCGATGCCGCAGCTCTCGCACGTATTGTCAGGTGGAGGAAGAATGGAGAAAGTTATAATCCTCTAAATTCTGCAAATTTATTACGCATGGTATCAAACATGGAATAGTTTAAAAATAAAGGCAAAAAAAAATATAATCCACCGGCTGTGACATTCGACTAACAGCACAGGTACAGCTGCTCCCCGAGGCCAGCCCTTCCGCCAACACGCAGCTTTCAGGAAAAGCCACCGTCTCCCAGCCCCACGAGACAGGATTTTTGCAACAAAAAGAGGAAAATTCACGTGGTGGAGACAGGTTGGGAGTAACGCAGACTCAGAAGCGTGACGCTGCGTGGCAAAAACCAGCCTGGGGCTGTCTGCACTGAAGGGACGGGGGAGTTAAAAGCAGTTTGTGGCTGAAAGCACCCAGCCCCTCTCCGACGCGCAGCCCTGACGCGCGGCCAGCCAAGGACGGGGCGGTTTGACTAAAAATACCCGATAAAGCCCGTTAATGGCATGCTGATTAATGAGAAATGAATGCGTTTGGGAATCAGCGGAGCCGCGGCGCAGAGCGGGCGGTGACTCAGCTCTGCCCACTTCACGCGAGTTCGACTCAAGTCCCCGCACCGCCGAGAG